TTACTATTGGAAGCGGCAAGAAAAACGTTGAAAATTCGACGTGCAATTATCTTCCGGGTATAATTTCGCACCATGGAGAGGTCCGAGAAATCGGGCGAGGAATGCAATTTTCTTACTGGCAATACTTCTGACGAAAGTCGTATAAACCCGAGCTCGCTTGTGATAAGTGCCGGATGACATCATTCGGTTCGGCGCGAAACCGGGACTTTTTTTGCGGAAAAGTTGCGCTTTTTGAACTGCGTTATTCTCGATATTTGAGTACTTTTTCGCGTTTTTAAAGTGCGCGTCGCGTGTTCCACATGTCATTTACCTTTCGAAAAATGTAGTCAAAATTCTTCCATGGTTTAGTGACCCATTTAACGTCCAAATGAGTCCTTTGACTGATTTAACGTCCTTAGAACTTTCCAATTTCATTTTGAGAAATCTGCGAGTCTTATGAACATTTTAAGTTGTTAAAATATGAAATGTAGGTCTCGTAATACCCTCACAGTCTACGAGCATAAATCAGGATCTGTCATAAAAAAAATCATTTAAAATCGGACACACTTAAAAAATGACTAACGCGCTATTGGAAACAGAATACACATCCGTCATTTTTACGCACTACGAGACGAGGGCTTACTCACTGGTGGACAGAATGTGACGCACAGTGGATCGAGTCAATAGGAGAGGTCGGACAAAATTTGGAAACTTTAAAAGCTTATAAATCACTTTTACAAAATTTTGAGATTTTAAAAAAGGTTCCATGGGTATCCTTGTGAGATTTGCCTCTAGAATCACCCCTATAAATTTAAAATGTGACGAAATAAACATCAAAATTTCCAGTTTAAGTAAAAAATATCATGTTCGACCTCTCTGATTGGCTCGATCCACTGTGCGACGCGCGCCCGGAGATGTGCTAGTAACTTCATTGGCTCTCGCGGACTTCTGACAGAAGCGGAATGAATTATGCATGAAGTAAATAGCTTCATTAGACGCCCTGGGTGACGCCCCGTTATTAATGGCATCGTTTATTCTGACTGATCGATTTCGAAGCATGGATTAATTGTTTCGCGGGTCGCTCGCGCTGACCAGTCCCGTTTTCCGCGCATAAGTTGTTTCTTCGTTGAGCCCCGAAAAACATTAAGGTATACGAAGAACAGGGCTCACGTTTAAAGTGAGATACGTCCTTATGCCAGAGGGCGACGAAGCGTGTTCACATGAAAAACGGGAGCAGGCCAAATAAATTCAAACGTTCTGGTAGTTGTCGTTCGGATTTGTGGTAATTGATTTACATCGACGCTGAAATTCTGAGAATCGGCTCCCCGATGCATGTATCAATATTTTAAAAGGGAATAAACTAGTCTTGCCGAGGGGACATCGAACAAATGAATTGCTTACAACTGCTATGAATTTATAACAGGGATCACTTTCACTATTCTGCGCGTAAAATTTAAAGATTTTTCTTACTCGTGCTCCTCACCATTGAAAGCGGCAAGAAAGATATTGCAAATTTCACGTGCAGTTATATCTTCCGAGTATAATTTCTTACTATGGAGAATTCACAGGTGTCTGAAATTTGATGAATTTCGTGTTTAATTAGAGAACCACTGAGTGAAATGAACACGAGGATACAATTGGTTTATAAATTGAACAATTTCTTAATTTTTGACGATCACAAGAGTATTTTTCCATAATTTTGTAGCGACATTTTTATGGCTGCAGCCTACAGCGTACCAAAACTTCTTCTTCCCGTCATTTTTAAGAGTCTCTAAGTGACGTTAAACCTTGCAGATACAATCTTTAAATTTTGCTAATCTTGTAAAGTATACATGCTGTTAATGGTAATATTTGGAGACTTCAACGCAACGATAGGAAGGTTACCGTAAGTTTTCCACTTACAATTCGTCTGAAGAGTCGGAGAAAGATGTAACTTTTTTTTCGAGTGAGTTCTGGAAGTATGGAGACTTGCATAGAGATTATCTTAAAAATGTAGTCATATTTTTTTGTCACAAAGAGTGTTCATTCATTTGTGTGAGCTCACCGAGCGTTCAGGTCATCCAATGGACCCGTATACACGGTATGCAAATTTCAGCAATCTGAAGCATGCTTTTTAACCAAAATTTCACGTAGAATACTTCTTTTGAGAAGAACATTACTGCAATCAACTGCTATCTGAGATATTAATAATTTTTTCTTTCACACTGATTATGGGAGATTTAAATTTTCCGCTCACAAGGAAAACAATAATCTACTTGAATCAAACCGCGCACTAAAACTTTTTTGGCGCTTCTAAATCACGAAACGTTCCTCCCTTGCCCTTGCGTTGTTTTTATCAAAGTTTTAAGAACGTGCAACAGATGAGCCAAAGTACCGAAAATAAGGTTGCTATATTTTCACTCCGCAGAAACGTTAGTGCTCGCTTTGACTCATGTAGACGTTTGTTTGATTCATGCGAAGGACGTTTAAATTTACGCGTCAAGGAACATTTAATATCTTAGTTAGAAGTTAGAGCCAGTAAATTTCTTTGAGTGAATCGTGTTCTGCGTGAATTTTTTGTTAAGAAACATGTATCAAAATGCTTGAATTTGTACCTTGTCCATTGGCCTAATGAATTTTTTGCTTAATAACATTTGCGCTGTTGATCAAAGCTTTGATCGCAAGATTCCCATTTCAATTGCTTTAAGCTTGACTGATGTACGATCGCCCACGATTCATATCTCTAGGGAAAAAGAAAACGCTTGTCAACTTTAGTCATGACTGATTCGATACGTGTTCAAGCTCCTATGAGAGGGCGGAGCTTCGGGTCCTGGGGTTATCGCGTGCCTGAGTATCTCTCACTGCTCTTTCTTGTACCGATCCATCATATTTTGCCGTGCTAAGGAAGAACGTCGTATAAGCCTTCAGAGGTTGCCAAATTGCCTTTGATTAAATAGGAATTTTGAGTAAAATCTGCACTGAAAAAAATTCTCGGCGTTTTACCAAGGTCCGTTGGTACCTTTACCATCTCACTTTTTTTTACCAATTATTGGTAATTTTACCAAGACAGACTGGTAAGCTTACCTAAAAACCGGTATTTTTACTGTTTTTTTTTCAGGTAAGAATACCACTTTTATTGGTAATCAATTCCCGGTAACTTTGCCATTTTATCTCGGTAATTCTACCACAGTCGATAAAGAATATTGGCGTTTTTACCAAGGTCCAGTGAGATTGCCGAGAAAGTTCAATAATTTTGCCGGTAAAATTACCAATTCCAGAAATGGCAATTTTACCAAGAAAAAACTAGGATCAAATAGAACTCTGAATTTTTGGTAATTTTACCCTTTTCCTAGTAAATACACCGAGATTTTTTTTTTCAGTGCGTGAATATCTTTCCTGAAATTATCCAGCTAATTTTACTCGCAATCAAATCTAAATCATCTGTAAATTTCAAAAGAAATTATCCAAGACTTCATTTAGGGGTAAACCTTTTATTGGAGGAGATTTGGCAACTCTGGAATGATGATACGGGCTTTTTTCCTTAGCGCGGCAGTATTCCCAATGTTTCTCTTTCTGATCCGTCGTCTTCCCAGATTGACTGATTGATCCAGGTACACGGCTTCTTTGCATGGGGCCCTTCTCGGCGCACGCTTATTAAAAGCTTCATTAGTTCCTCGCGGTGCAGCGAAGTGCATTCACGGCTACTTTCACACGCGCGTGAGATTTCGAACAAAAGTTAACACGGCAAACATAACAATCTATGTGGAGTAAGCTCATTTTAACTACCAACATGATATTTCACGTCTCTAGGTGACCTTGACCCTGTAGAGATAATCGTTAAACTGCAATCATGTCGTAAAGGACATGATGGTAACGTGTTCATGCTCGGTGACTTAAACGCAACGTCAGAAAGGTCGCCGTAATTTTGTCATTAAGTTAAAAGAGTTGGAGAAAGGACATACATTTTTTTACGTAATTAATAATCACATGAAGACTTCGATAGAGATCATCTTAAAATTTAGTCATATCTTTTGATCACAAAGACCTTTTCGCGTGAGAGATAGGGGGCAAGAAGACTGGCTAACAGACAGTAAGTTCAATAACGTTCTTTCACTTTCGCGCAATTTAGTATTTCTCTAAATGTTGATGGCGGATTGAGATTCATACTATCTCAGTTTACGACGTTGCATAGTTCTAGCCGCTCGTTTTAAACTTTTTGCGGTTAAATTTAGAAACGTTGCGTTTGTATTTCACAACAGTTCGGGGGATTTTTTATCTTTTCCTGAACAAATTCTTGGCAAATTTTATTAAGAAATATGGGGTGGTTTTTTTTTGCTGAGCAGAAAGATTAAGCACGGGGTGTTTCTCTGGTTGTACCATTAACATACTTCTTTCCAAACCTCACTGACACTATTACAGATATTCACGGTATGCTGGAATCGGTACGTGGAATTTTATGTGGTAAACTAAAGGTCTCTCTCATATTATGTTACTAAATTGTGCAGTTTTGTATGCATCTTCCAGCAAACCTAATTTTCATATGTCAGAATTATTACCTCCACAAAATATGCAAGAAAATTATCGTGAAATTTTCTTTTAAAGGCACCCCTCAAAATTTAAAATGTGACGAAATAAACATCAAAATTCGCAGTTTTAGTCAAAAGTTTTAAGTCAAACCTATCCGATTGACTCGATCCACTGTGCGTCGTATTCATATGTGGACCCCATTTAGCAAAAAGGAACCAGCGCGATTACAGTGCCGTTAAAATGTCGCTTCTTCATAATTGTCTACATAGTCTCCCAGAGTAGCAAATAGTTTTTGCTTTTCACCAACAAATTTTCAATTTTAAAGGAAAATAATTGTTTAAATTTTAATACTGTACATCTATTTAGTATTTTTAAAAGAAAAAAAAAAGTCGGACGATTTTGAAAACACTGTAATTGCTGGTTCCTTTGTGCTAAATGCGATCCATTTATAATCTTCTGATGTTGGCAAATACACCCAGCCTAATATTTCTGATCGTCTCTGTTGCAGGTTTTCTTGAACTTGGTTGTGATCTCAAGTTCCCTGAAAGTGCAGCCAACACCAGCATCATTCCGCGAGGAATCGATTAACGACAATACCGAGGGACAGACGGACGAGCTGGGCCCGGGGCCGGCCCCAGGAATAGCGCCTAGCTTCGCAGTCGGGGGCCCACCCGGGCGGGGCCCCAACGCCCGGAGCCCGCCGTCCCCGTACGCTCACAACAAACACGGGATCCAGCTCCCGCTGCAGATATACCTCAGGCCGGTGGGCCCCGCCCGTAACGAGGGCCACAAGCGGCGTAGTGGTGGCTTCCGCCCACCCCAAAAACGTAACGTTCCGCCCCCTAACGCTGGCGTTAACAATAACGGGCCCCCGCGCAACGCGCCGCCCAGATATGGATACCCCTCCCGCCCTAACTCCAGGCCCAACACACGGCAGGGCTTCAATAACCGCCCGCCGAGGCAACAACCGTCCAGGTGAGCAAACAAATTAAATTAATTACTACTTAAAACAATCAATCGATAGGCTATGATTTATCTGTGATATTGAATATGTATATGAAATTCACAGATTTCGCATTTAATTTTGTAAGGAAATCGGAGGACGAAAAAAGAAAAAATGTTGTGGTTCAATTAACGAATTTCGATAAAACTGCGTTGATTTGGCGACGCAATTGCAACTCTCAGCAATCATCGCTGCTTAGGCGTGCAAATTGCATACCTCTATTTCTTGCTAACTTTTCTTCCTTGCTGAAAGAAAACGCCGTACGAGGGTTGCCAAATTTAACCGAATGAAACATGTATATCTGAGGAAAGTTATGCATTTTCTTTATTGGAACGTTCAGATATTTAGATTGAATGACGAACAAAATTGTCAGAAAACTTCGGAAAAAAAATATTCGAAATTTTCTCGGTAAATTTAACTTTTACCGAAAGGAATATTTTTTTTTTTTTTTTTTTTTTTTTTTACTACTTCAAATAGCCCACAAGGGCTAATCCCACGCTTTAAGTCCCATCCCCCCTCCGTCCCTACTGAACCAGCCCCAGGCAACCATTGTTTGAGACCATCAAAATCGGGTCGCCTGGCCGGGAATCGAACCCGGGACCTCCCGATTATAGAGCAAGCGCTACAACCACTACACCATAGGAGGCCGACAATAGCCGACAATAGGCCGACATATGTCAATAGTAAGTTGGAATTGTTTAGCCAACGTGCGTTAAAAATCAACACAAAGGTAAAAATCTAAACACAGACGGAAAAAGCTCATGTGAGCACAATTTTCCCTCAATATGTCAACAACTAAAAGCACATGTTGCGTTTTTCCTCAGTACGGCAGTATGTTTCACACACCCACGTTTTCTTACAGGTCCACACCGGAAACAAGCGAGAGTGCCTCTGTGACGTCAACAGCGCCTGCGCACGCGCAACCCTTCGAACACGAGCACCGCTTCGAGACGTTCGACACGATCTCCTACTCCAAGCTCTACCAAGAGAACAACGGATTCGACGCTATTCCGGAGAAGGTGGACGCCATCTTGAAAGCACAGGCCAAGCCCTTCGGCAAAAAACCCATCACCTACGGTCACCTAGGCTTCACCGGTAACTTCTTCAACTCACCGAAGCCGGCCCCCAAAAAGGGATCTCACCCTCAACCCTCCACCCAAGGACATGCACCAGCGCATGCTCAAGGACACCCGCAAGGATACGCTCAAGGCTACGGCCAAGGACAAGGCCAAAGCTATGGTCAAGGACAAGGCCTTGGTCAAGGGTATGGTCAAGGACAAGGCCAAAGCTATGGTCAAGGACAAGGACAAGGCCAAGGCTATGGCCAAGGACAAACCTACGGAAAGGAGCCCAAGAATCACTCCAAGGAGAAGCCCAGGAAGAAGGCCAATAGTGGAAGACACCGACCTGAGCAGAGTTACGAGGGATATGGTGACGAGTATCAGGTAAGAATCTACAATTCTTGGTACTTATGATTCGCTGCTTGCTATAAAAAGGGATACAGTGGAGTACCTAAAATGTTTGCACAGCCACGATTTCTTCCATATTCTGTGGCCACATGTTTTTTTAGGATTGAAAGCAAGTTAGAAAATTCACATGTATAAAACAGGGATTGTAGTGAGAAAACTGCTACGTATACCTTTCAATTCGATGGGGAACAAGTTTCTTAAACAGTAACGTCTATAGATGGATATTAGAATGTGGATATGAGTGAAATTTTCCCGTAATAAATTAAAGAGAAAATTTACTTCAAGAGAGGTGCTTTCAACACGTTTTGTAGTATATCAAGCTGATGCATTAAGCGATGATCATTATTTTTACATTTCATATTAATTCAATTGGAAAAAATATCTCGATAAAAGTCCTATTTATGTCCAACTACAATGTTTTAAACCTGAATTGATGCCTTCAGGCATTTTTTAACCTTTTTTCTCTCTTTCCGTTACGTTAAAGTGCAGTTGAAATGCAGAGGATTTAACCATGGTTCCACTGTATGCCTTTTAATACTATTTGAGGGGCTTGGAGGACAAGGCGCACAAGTGCAGTTTTTGAAAAATTGGGATATTAATGATTTCAAGAAGAACTAGTCTCAATGCATGTTCTGTGCAAAATTTATTCCAAAATTCCAATTTTTAAGCATCAAAAAGTCAATGTGAAATTTTTTTCTACCATAAGGATTTATGCAATTTTGAAACTTCAAACACGCACTCCCCGGAATGGCAAAAACTGCATTTATGCGCCTTGTCCTCCAAGCCTTCCATTTGCCTTGTTGCTTTGCATGAAAGGAAATCTACCTCAACCTAATAATCCACCAGCTAAAAAACTTCATTCCCTCGTCCTTATCTTTGTTTCCAGCACGCCACTCACAATTCTCACATGAGCGAGCGCACCGATACAGAAGACACCAGCGCTCACTACCGAAAACGCGAACCAGCCCCTACCTACGAGTCCGCATGGCACCACCAGGTGGACCATTCCTCCTCCTGGCAAGCCAAAGATCAACCCAACCAAAACTCCTACACAAACGCGAACGGCCAAAAGCCGTACTCCAACGCCCAGAACTACAACCAAAACGCCTACCAAAACGCCTACGAGAACGAAGACAGCAACACGCACGACCGACCAGCCGAATCCTCCTCGTACCAATCTAGTCAGAACCACAATCAGCCCAGTCAGAACTACGTGCAGCACACCCAGACCTACCAGAAGCCCGCTCCAACCCAGAACAAAAACAAGCAGTACGAACAAAGCAATCAGGGGAAACAATACGACCAGGGCAAACAATACGAACAGACCAAACAAACCTACGAAGACGAGCAAGAACAAAGTCAAGGCTACGGCCAGGTGAACCAGAACTACCAGACCCAGCAATGGCAATCTTACTCCAAGAAGCAGGAAGAACCTAAAGCTAAGGGGTCCGACCAGACCTACAGCTACCAGAGCTTCGAGCAGTCCGACCGGAGGGACCAAGGCTTCGATGGCAGTCAGAAATACGACAAAAGCAACCAGCAGTCTGACCAGGGCAGTCAAAGGTACGACCTGAACAACCTGAACAGCCAGAAGCACGAACAGAGCGCGAAGAACGAAGGTCAGAAGCTGGACAACTCGAGTCCAGACCTGACGAACATGCAGTGGCAGTCGTTCCACAAGAAGCAGGAACAAGGGGTCCATGGAACGGCCGCGGGTCTCAACGCCAGCGCGAGCAGTGTGGTGGACCGCTGGACCTACAACGAGGAGCCTAATATCTGGGGGAACGTTCACGACGGTTACAAGAGGTTGGTGAGTGCCCAAAGTTCCGGGGATGTTGGTTCTGAGTGGAACGCCAAGTTTTCATTCTGGGACGGCAATAACTACAACCGCTACCCCGTCGTTACCAGCGAGCCGGATGTGCATAATGTCAATTACCTGAAGCAGTACTTCAAGAGGAACAACGGCTAAGCTTTGTCAAGGTTGGGCTCGTTGATGCAATCAAAATAAGATCCCTGGTTGTCGCCATCTGATGTGCTCCTTCTACATTGGAAATTTCTGAAAGCATATCGTAGTTTTCCAGACGAGGGAACGTAACTTTATTCCAAGGTTGCAAAATCGACTGAAACAATTAAATTTTGTACAAGATTGTGCCTATGCAATATTTTTACACATTTTTTTTCTTCTGATTTTATCATGAGCTCAGAAGACAAATCCGTGGAACTTTCAATTAGAAATTGCCAATTTTCTCAAATTTAAATTTCGATTTGCGAGGGGAAATTTGGCAACATTGAACTGCAGTTACGTTTCTTTGTCCGGGAAACGACGATACATCATGCACCGCCTTTGGTATTATTTGCTCATGCACGAGTAGCATAACAGTAAGTTGCGATACCTTTTTTTGATTGATGCAACTTGTGGCATATCATGCCACCTCACTCAAGAAACTGAGAGTACCGCAACATGTTTCAATGAAGTCGTATCAAGTTGCAACTCCCTATTTTTTGGCTGATTGCCTTCTTGTTATGGCGAATGATCATTGGATTTTGTGAATGCTGACTAAAGTTCGCAACTCATTGCAACGGTATACATTGATGTAACGTGTTGCAATTTTTTTTCCTGGAAAATGCTACTTGGGTACTGGTGTGTATGTTTTCACAAATTTTCGATGTAGATTGATCACGCTTTCTCAAATTTTTCTCCGGATTTACAAAGCCACGACTGATCGTCAGAATTTGCCTTTTCAAGTAGAAAAAATATCATGAGCACGAGGCCTAACTTTTCCCATTTCTTAATCTTCGCTTCTAACTTCACAGTAATCGTGGCCGGCTACATTTTTGGAGAAAATGTCTTTGAAAAAGATAATAAGTAAATGAGAAACACTTGAATGAAAGAGTATGCCAGAAAGTTTATACCATTGCAAAATTAAACGGAAACTTTTTTTAAATCAACATCTATGGTCCAAGTACAGGTCATAACGATGACCTGCTCTCAGATATGAAGTTACTCTCATAGTGTTTGAGAGAGAACTTTGCTCTCAGGAAGTGAAGTGCCATTAATCTAATGTAGCTGCATCAGTTATGGTAAACGGACGGATAAGATTTTTTATATGAAATGCAGAATTTCTTTCAAGAAAAAATTATTTAGTCAGAAAGTTAGTGCAATAAACTGCCCATTAGATTTAGGAGATTAATCCCGTAGGTCAACTTTGGAAAATGTTGATACTTTTTTTTAAACAAAAAAAATGCAACATTTTTAGCCGATAGTATCATTTGCTTTTTCCATTGTTATTCTATGCTAGCATGTAAATATTTCATCGATTGTGCACTCGCTGTGCAACAGCTATTTTTCGGTGGAAATCTGTGGAAAGCAGTTTTATTAGGGAGATGAAACGAATGACAATGTGCTATAAAGAACAACTATATCTGGCTCATTTGAGAAACAGCACAATGTGTCATTAGTTTTCCTGTGCAGAAAAGAGCTTTTATCAATGAGCTAGAAATAATAGTTCTCTATTGCAAGATTTAGTCCAATTTACTCGTGGTGGAACAATGTTCCATCGTTTCATTTGTTGATGAGTTCATCGGTGTTCAATGGAGGAAATTGATATGATTCTTCTCGCTTGGTAGAGTGATGAAATGGCTTACATTTTGCATCAAGGAACCACTATCTCTGGATCTTCCATGAAAGAATGTACCTGCATAGGAAAACCAATGGCATATACGTTGTTTCTGAAATGAGGCAGAAACAGTAGTTCCTTATTGCAAAATGAGATCCAAATAAGAAATTATACTAATATTGTTCAATATAAATGGTAAAATAGGCACCCCAGGAGCCCTAGAGGGAGCTGTCCGAAGAATAATAATTTAACACATAACCAAAGCCTAGCATCTAATTTTATATTATTAAATTCGAAGATGGCAAAAGCAGATCATGATAGCTGTTCTCCTCTTCATTTGCCGTTGTGGTGCACTTTCACTCGCGAATCTTTAATTGCGGCCTCTCCGAACTTCACTTACTGATTCCGTAGTCAATAATCATTAATAGTCACCAATACTCACCGGACAACCAGGAGAAACTTATTATCTTGGTTAGATGAGTGGTCAAAGTCAAGTCAAAAGCTCAAAGGTGGCTTGCGTTGATAGGGTCAGCGTTGACTTTCCAACGTCTACGGCACTTTTATTTATTTTAATGAAGACCTTAAAGGTTTTACATACGAGCACGGTCTTGACTTTCAGTGAGGTATAGGGTTAGATATTGATCACCAGTCAGTGGACTAGTGGACAAGAACTGATTCAACGGATTTCAATGCGCTTCATTATCCCTTAAAGCTTCCTTTCGCAAAGAATGCACGCAATTGAACATTTTCAACGTAGCTCTCTATACATAGCAGTTAGTTATACCGATCGTTTAAAGTTCATTGTATGAGAAAAACACGTACAATTCTAACCCTTCGCGATCAATCATTGATTATTGGCTTTTAAATCTCGGCCCTAAATGATTGCATCTGTTACGCATATTCCAACTCATGAAAATTTGCTGATCAGTACGCGGAGTTCGGTAGTCTAAGGTTCATTTAATCGAGATTAGTACCATCGGCTACTGTACTACTTGCATATTAAAACTTTGCTCAGAGATTGGTTGTTGATCGTTTAGCGTATGCTTCAATTTCTTCAAATATTTTTAAGCTGAAGCAGCCAGAGCCTTTCTGGTTGCATGCAGGAATAAAACCTCAAACATCTTTTTCTCAGCTTCAACTTAATGTGGGTTGGTTCCTTTCTGATGAACTCGGTCCAATTGTATTAATGCAAATTTCAACGGAAGGACCGAGAATAGCCATAATACCAGAGCTCGAGAATAATATCACACCCGTTAAACAAGCACATTCAAGCGTGCTGACTCACTCCGATCCTAAAACACAGCGTCTTTTCTCTAGCGCGTATTTCATGGTCGCAAGTAGCTTAGATAACGATCGGTTTGGCCAGGACAAGCCCCGTTCGACAAGCCTCATCAATGCAGATCTCCCAAAGAGAGAGGTAGCCCGCGAAACAGAACCCGCGTAAATTCACCACGATCGCATTGTCAATTGCGCGGTTCCTGCTTAGGGCGGATATCAGACTTGTCGTCTTCATTCCTGGAATAATGAAGCAGCCTCGTTGACGGACGCCTATTGTTTTTGAGCGGGACGGGTGGAAAGTTCACGAAGCTCAAACTAGTCATAAAAGCTGCGATGAAAGCCGGCGCGTGCATTCCAGCGCGCAAAAAACAAGTTCAAATAGCCACTCGTGCCCGGCCAAATAGGCGAGGTTCACACGGTCGAAACGCCGCGACTGGGTCTGACGTAAAAATAGAGTCATTTCGTAATGACGTCACGCCGAGGAATTCAGAGCTGGGATTGGCTCTTGCTGTAATTAGCTTTTTCCTCCTGGTTCCGGAATTACACGCAAGATCCGTCTTCGAATATGTTGGAGGCAAATAGGACTACATTTTGCAATTAGGAACTATACATTCTGGCTCAGTATAAAAACAACGTATGAACCATTAGTTTCCTTGTGTACGTAAGTTTTTTTCGGATGAGCCAGAAATTATAGTTCCTAATTGCAAAATGAAGTCCAATAGTCGAATCAGAAATGCGCAGTAGGGTCTCAACTGGACTCCATTTCAAAATTGAATCGATCGTGACAAAAGAGCTTAAGCGCCGGATATAAAAATGCGAAAAAAACGGTAGAAACAGCATAAACCAACCCGTTTTAAATTTCAGATGAATTAATAATGTGATCGAACAATTCATCGCTTTAAGATTTTAGAGCTCTAAGATTTAGAAGGGATCAATTAGAACGGTTATTACCATTTTTCTCGAATTCTTGTTTTTGACGCTTGAGCCCCTTTGTAACTGACCAATTCAATTAGGAGCTCACAATCTTTGGCTTATGTTAGAAACAACATAAGTGCCATTAGTTTCCCTATGCACATAAGTGTTTTTACGGATGAGCCAGATATTGTTGTTCCTATACTTGGAAAATGTAGTACAATTAAGGCGCCTAGTATTGAGACCTGTAATCTGCATTTGGAGACTAAACATTTGGCAGATGTTTTGGCTAAATATTCTAAAGTTTCATCTCGGAAAATGAAGAGGAAAATAGCCTTCATTTCGTGCACCGATTTGCTTGTATTTGATTTTTACACACTTTTTTTTCATCTAAAGCTTATCATTTTTAGCCAATAATCAAAAGTAATTATTTGTGCATTGTTAATTTCTCCTCTCAAATGGATTGAATCGAATCCCGAATTCATTAAATTTAAAATAAGAAAAAAAAAGTCTGAATAACAGACTCATTAGGTGAGTTTTTCATTCGAGTGAATGACATCAAAAATTATGAGAGAAAGATTGAAAGTATTGTGCTTTTTAATTGTACATGTGGTGTCAATTTTAAGTAAGACCCTTGATTTATACCAAAATATCCCTTATTTTCACCAAAGGGACACACTCATTATCAAAATGATTTTGAACTTGTCTACTTTTTTGACACGAGTAGTCTGCTGATGCAACACATTTGACGCTACAAAGTCACAAAAAAGTTATCTGTGAGAAAAATCAACATGCTTTTGGCAAGGTTGTAATTTGTTCTGTGAGCTGTGAACAATTTATTTTTTTTAGACGCAGCTTCTGAACTCAAAAGTTCCTAATAGTGATATTTTAAGGTAAAGTTTTGTGGAAGATTTTTTTGGCCTACCTATGGCACACTCGTAACATTTATTCTATTCATTTCTAGAGAGAACCCAAAGTCAGTCCTCTAAAAAAAAAAAAGTTGCATCAAACAGACTTCCAACTAAAAAAGATAACTCTTACATTTTTTTTAGTTGACGTCTTCTTTGTACATTAACCCCAAGCCAAAGTTAAATTAAGGATAATTATTTTAAATCGAAATGCAAATTCAGCTGGGATAATTAGATAGTATTATTTATTTTTCCAAAAATTTATATTTAATTAAGTTTTATGTATATTTTTACATGTGCAATATATTTATGTTAACTTATTTGAACTTTATTACTAATTAAATCTATGTACCACCATGTAATTTTTAAAAAGCCTCTTAATTATTTACCTTAATTGCCATTACCTTATTACATTGTTTTGAGGGCGATCCCGTCATTTAAAAAAATATAAGCAGTGGCTCAGAGATAAACAAGAGGGTAATAGTAATAATCACTTAACTAAAGGAAGATACTTTGAGTCTCAGTCCAACAATTGCAAATTTTCAAAAATTTGGGGAAATGAATTCCACCTAAATCCCCCAAAATTCAATTTTCGCCAATTGCTTTTGACATGTCTCTCGCTTTAATCAGCATGATTTACTGTTAGTTTTTCATGTTATTATATTAACAATGAGTGATACCAAATATCAGTTTCGTACAAAAGGGATACTAACGGCTTAATTATCCTTTATGCTTCATATGAAGTGCTCCTTACAGGGCCGGATTTACCTACTTGCCGCCCCCTTCTCATTCGTTTTGAATAAAAACCATCAAGTGAACGTGCCGGAGGGGGAGGAGTGCATAAGACGCGTTTACTTGTGTTGGACACATTTTTTTCCGAAAGCCCTGTCAATACTACTAGTAAAAGTTAAGCTCTGTAAACCAATCTCTGTGTGAACATAGCCTTCCATTTATAAGAAATAAATGAACGAACAAATTATGAAAGAACAAACATAAATTAGGTTTAATAATCTTAACTTGTAGACGCTATGCATTTCACGCTGACTGCTGCTGAACGCACTGTGTTTGACGTAATGCGTGTAGTATTCACGCAGTCTTGTAGGCGCTATGCGATTCACGCTGACCGCGCTGTGTTTAACGCAATGCGTGAAGTATTCATGCAGTCTTGTAGGCGCTCATATGTGTTACATGCCGACCGCCGCGCGTCAGTGGCGTGGCGTGCTTTGCAATATATCGATTTTTCTACCATTTGAAGCTATGGTAAAGAATCGATTATTAAGGAGTTCGCTGCGAACACCCTGTTTATCGATCCTTTTCCATAGGCTTAAACGGCATAACAATCGATATATCGCAAAGCACGTCATGCCACTGCTCAGCGCAGTAGAATGCAACGGGTACTACCGCAGGTCACTCCAGCGCCCAAGCGTCCCCCTCTCTGAACCGCATGACGTCATCGGCCAAAATGCCCTCAGATAAATGGAAAGTGCTTCTGAGCGTCTCGGATCCTCCTCAATCGCGAAGAGAGAAAAAAAAATTGAGCGAACTCGGGCGTTTATTCATAAAACGCGGGCTAATTACAGGCATGCAACTCAACACCGAGCGCGGAGAGGACTTTCACCGCTTAAATCGTGTTTGCCTTTCCTGCCGCACTAAAAACTCGAGCTTTGAGGTTTGTATTCGGCGTTCGTCCCTCTTTTCGAGGTTTCCGCAGACGCGTTTCGCGGAATGCAGGCGGGGTAATGGTCGACATCGCTCATCTGGCGACGCGCGACGCTTTTAGTGGGTGCGATAAAACAAGCCTCGCTACTTACGCTCAATTATACACCCCGTAGTTTCAAAGGTTTTTAGTGCTGCGGTTTTACACTCGGGGGACATTAGTATGTGCGATGTGTTCCTCGAGAGAGGGTGTGCGAATTGCAGTCCGGTCATTTAGGACTTGCCTCTCGGAAGGAAACCAAATTACATTAGCTGTTGCCAAATTTCATCAAAATTTGTTTTTGACAAGAGAATGGATGTGTCGCGGGCAAAGGGTAAAATCAGGCATTTTGTCAAATGCCTACACTCAAAAAAAGGTATGACTCTAAGACCCATAAAAAATGGCTCGGAGATCCATAATTTCTAACCAAAGTGACTTACCGTCTGCACTCTACAGTATGGCTTTCTGAGCCATACTTTATTGGTCGTGAACCTATAAGCATGGCCCCACGAACTATATTTTATGGCTCCATGATCCATAACTTGGCCGGTAAGTCACTCTTCCCATACTTGTTTTTTGAGTTTAGGCAAATAGTCAAATATTCTAGCTGAGATTGAAATTCTGATTCTTTTCCGAATTTTAGACAAAATAATTAATTGACCCCGTGAGAAAAAAATCTCAGTAAAAAGTTGCATTATAAAATAGTATTCTAAACGATTTTTAGCTCCTGAGTAAACACTCATACTGAAATTTTCAGCATGTCAGAAAATAGAACATTTTTAGAATTTCAACGTTTAAAAATTTGAGAAGCAATTTAAAAGGAAGAGACAAAAAGAGTTTGTAGGTATGATGAGATATTTTCCCACGAATATTGAAAACTCGTGAGCTCTCCGATATAAATTCACAAAATTTTGTAGGCACTCAAAATTTAGCTATCTACCTAGGCATTTGACAAAATGCCTGATTTCACTATTTGCCTGCGACAGATGGACCGATTCGCCAAAAATGTTCTCTATCACAAAGAAATTTCCCTAAAATTTTCAAGAGGATGGTATGACTGTTCTCTTCTAGAAAGATAATTTGTTTAATGACTTCTAGTAACGGCTGATATAACTCGATTTCTTTTGGAGGATCACTGCCTACCATTATTTGTATAGTTGAATACATAATTCTGCATTCTGAGTGATTCCATAGTTGATCGATTACTCAAATATCAAAAATTAATCTTGAATTTTGAGAAAAAGTCCACCAATCCTGGATTTAAAAAATGGTATGATGCATCAGAAAGCAATATACAGTTTGTACGAAATTGACAGGATGGCATTTAATAGTGCTGCATCCACACTATTCTGCGGAGGAATCAAAACCGAAAAATTCCAAAAATTTCGTTAGATTAAAAAATCTGAACTTTCATGAGTATCCAGTATCTAATCATGATTGCAAATTTGAGCTTTACCACCGGACCTTGGCTGAAATTTAAGCCGACACCCCACTCAAAATTTGGCAAAATTCGATGGTGGTAACATTCTCAGATCCAACGAGGATTCTGTACCTACACTATGTGTTCTGAAATGAAATTTACCCATTGTCTCTTGGAATTTCAGTTTGTTCGGAATCTGAGGATTTCAGCAAATCTGTGAATGATGCCAAAGACAAGATCGACACTCGACCCGACATAACTCCAGCTCACAAATTCCTATAAAGAAAAAGTGGCTGTCACCAAGATCCAAACGGTGCTGGATTAAAGCCAAGACTGAAAGGGCAGACTGAAATCTCGCATGCTAGCACTCCATAATCCCAGCTGAGGTACTCTATTCAGTGTCTCGAAATAGCATCTCGTTTCATTTAGTTATCATAAATGGGCCAATCAAAGGGTAAAACTAGGGAGACATCGAGGAAGACAATAGTCTCCGCTTCCCTTGACTGTCGTCGTTGTTTCAGTATGTGTTGCGATTTGATCTTGATTTCTTATCTGAGTTTGTATGCATTGATTCCTTGTACAGTTACTGGTTTTGTAAAATATTGAATCAGCAAAAACTATACTTACCCCTGCCCTCCTCCTTCCATCCATCAAGGACTTCAATTCAATCCCCTATGAATTGGCTCATTTCATCGAACTGTCATAAGGGATCGATGGAGAAAGGCAATTTACCATGTTGCGTCTTTTTTTTTGACAGAATTTATGTTGTCCAATACTTAATATGTTCAACTTGTTTAAAAAAAAGTGATGTCCGTTTTGCGTCAAAGTTTGAATTTACGAGCCTAAAAGAAAATAAGTTATTTTTTTGCTCACTCTTCAGTCGGAGGATATTCTTCGATCGATTTCCCCTTTCCAACGTCACGAATAGGTGTGCGTTGTGTGCGATTGGAAAAATCGGCTATTTTTCAGATTCGGCTTGGATAATCGACCAACTGGGGAAGTCTCCATTAGTGTTCAATTTGGTTCGCGTTAAGCAGAAAGGAACCAAGCCACATCAGCCATTGCAAACTTTAATGGGGCACTTTAATAATTTACATGAAAACAGCTGAACAGATTTTTGTAAGAAGTTTAGTGACTTTTCTGCATAGCACGGTGCACATTCCTTAAAATTTTCAAAGGAATCTGCACAGAAGCTCACTTGCAAAATATTAAATTGCTCGGTTAAATTAGGCAATAGCCGATGTGGCTTGGTTCCTTTCTGCTAAACGCAGTCCATTCAATCTAGGTTCATATTTATCTCATGAAAAAGCCGGAATTTTTTATTCGACTGATTCCAATGTGAACCATCGTGCTGTAATTTACGCCTCACCGGTTTATTTTAGAATTTTTCAACGAATCCTCCGTACTCTGTGAGAAATTTTGATCAGCAAGACTAGAGTCTCGTCATGACGTATTTCTGCCCAACGGAACTATGTGCATTATGACGTGAACCCTGTTATGCATATATTCTTATGGGTCTCAGGGCTCATGTCTTAATGCATATATTTCCGTTTGGCAGAAATACGTCTATTTAACTCTCACCTTATCTACCAGTCCATCAAGTTCCATAACGCACCGACCGAGGTCCATGACGTCATACACAGATTCAGATTCTCACACCGGTCCCGTGAAAGGACCAACCTACGCGATTCGATCATGATCATGTGAGGAACTATTTCTTATGACTCAATCCGGCTCCGAGGGATAGTGGAGTGGCGCTTATCAGCAGCTGTATCCGCGTCACATATTGCCCCGGACGCGGCTATTTTGCTCGGGCCCTGATGAGAAAACGGGTGCGGTTTCTGGCTTTGCTCCGGGCCCCGGGGCTGGAACTCACTTACGGTAACCACATCCTATTCCCAGACGGAACTTTCGGTCTTTGGCGCTTGTTCCAGGCCGCAAGATTCCGCTCTGCGCAATCAACCGTGTACCACCGCTGTTGCCAACGCCGGTAAAAGCTGAGAGCCCGACCGGGAAGCCCAAATACGGCTTTCTCGGGTGACAACTCACTCGTAAATAAACTCGAGTGGCCCTCAACAAACGACAATACGAAAATGCACCGACATTATTCTCACTTAGACCGCGTTTAGCGGAAAGGAGCCACAGTACCTGTATACGGGAGAGTATTGCCATCTCTGTGCCGCTCACCGATTGGTTCATCAGTTTTATTATCTACCTTATCTATCTATATACTTATTATCTACGTA